GTGTGTGTGTGTGTGTGTGTGTGTGTGTGTGTGTGTATATATATATATATATATATATATGAAACCGCAATGGAGTAGGTGCTCAGCTGTTTCTGGTTTACTGGAAAGCTCAGATCCAGCTATTTAACATGTTAGTAGTACTTTTATAAAAAAACTTTGTGTTGAGGCCTCTCACTCCTGGGTTGTTGTATTTTTGCAGTAAGCAACTTATCAAATGCTTTATATATATATATATATATATATATATATATATATATACACACACACACACACACACACACACGTACACACATGCATATTTATACATACTGTATGTATACAGTATGTATGCGCCTACTGTCAGAGATTGGGTCATGACAATATAGAGGCGACCACATATTATGTTTATAAAATGTTAGGTTACATTCACAAATTTCCTGCCAACCCTAAGTATAAATATTTGTCAAGAATTTGGATTAGAATTCTCCTACTTTGTTTTTAGACTTTTGTTTCAAAGATCTGGAAACTGTGTAGATGCATAAAATAATATATTTTAAAAAATCATTTTGTGTTTCTGTTACGTTGGCAAGCTGGCGAGTGGAGAAGCAGGCAAGCGGAGCCGTAAATACGGACAAACGGGGTTTATTGGCAGGGAGACAGAGGCACACGGCAAGGAACATAACACCACAATGACAGATCTGCGGGATACTGACTTAGACGCGGACTAAATACACAAGACAGGCTGATCTAAACAAGCAACAGGTGATTACAATCCAGAAGTAACACGAGGTAACAAGGAGGGCGTGGCACACACGAGGATCGGATGAGCCGGGCGTGACAGTTTCTGTGTTTAAAAATATTTGAAGGGAACTAAATGTCACTGTAGTATTTATGTTTTCTGAAAATCAGAAAATTAGTCAAGGGTTTTCTTTTACAGGGCCATGTATCTTAACAGGAGATTTCTCTCCCCTGCAAACAGGACACTGACTGCTCTCTCCCTCAGTGCCAGTGCCAAAGTTCTATAATGACTGTGGGCTTCTCATCAATGTAGGTGTGGCAATAGACTATTTTAAAAAGAAAACTGCTAAAGAAAGACTGCTACTAAATGCAGCTGTATGAAAGTAATGAAACCGCAATGGAGTAGGTGCTCAGCTGTTTCTGGTTTACTGGAAAGCTTAGATCCAGCTATTTAACATGTTAGTAGTACTTTTATAAAAAAAACTTTGTGTTGAGGCCTCTCACTCCTGGGTTGTTGTATTTTTGCAGTAAGCAACTTATCAAATGCTTTAAATTATTAGAGGGGAACTACAGTTTGTCTGAAATTATTTTGCACATGTGATTATCTTAAATACCTTTTGAATACACTGACCAAATTGGTCAAAAACTATACATGTCTGAGACTGCCTGAGAAAATATTTTTGGAAGATCAAAGTTGTTTTTCGCTATTCAGATGAATATTAAAAACAAAAAAATGTGAAAATTGCTGTCTGATGATATTATGCAACGCGTGTTTTATCGTCTGAATGGGTAGGATTTTAAAACTACAAGCAAAATGTATAAATGGAGACAATGTTTTTTCACTGCCTAGGAACAAGAATCAAATCACTTTTACATAATTATATAACCACCTTTTTCTCAATAATCTTTCATCCATTGAACGTGTAAGAGTGTTGATGATTTCTGGAGTTACAGCGTGTGCCGCACTTTGAACGGCATCCCACAGCTCTGACGCACTCTTGAATGGCTTCTATTGTATTGCTTCCCCCTTGTAAAGCTCTTTTTTCACCTGTGACTACATATTCTCGATGGGGTTCAGGTGAGGTTAGGATGGTGCCAAGTCATCAGCTGGCATGCAGAGAACAATTCCAAGCTAGTAAGTCTGTACTAATTCGAGAAGCATGTGAAGGGGCATTGTCTTGTGTAAAGATGCTGTTTTTCTTAACAGCTCAGCTTTAGGATTTTTACCATGTGAAGAAGGTGCCTTCTAGTCATGTTGCCTTCTAGGCAGTTCACTCTGTTCAGCTTCCCCCCATCATTAACTTTGAATGGCCCAGTGCCTTTGTACTGCCAATCCCTGCTTAGATCATGATCCCACCACCTCCCTGTTGTCACCTCAGTCATACGGGAGTTTCCCTATCATACAAGACCCACACTTTGACCACGCACCTGGGCCTTCCAGCATCACCGTTTATTCATCAGTAACAATCACTTTACTAAAGTTAGTTTTCAAGTTTTTTTCTTGGGCCCATTTTATACGTTTCAGAAAGTGTCCTTTATTGATCAAATAATTCTGCATTTCCTGTTATGTTTCATACCTGCCTTGTTGTATACTTCTGAACTGCTCACTATGGGATATTTAGCGAGAATCTGCTTCAGTGTATGTCTGCACCAGGCATTAATGTTCTTGAAACCTTTTCCTTTAGTTTGTGTCCTCTCTCTGTTCACTCTTTCCACTCCTAATTTCACAATTTGGTGGTCTCTGTGTAATATCTTTAAAATGTCCAGTATTGTTTTACCATCAACTGCACCATTTTCTGTTTCTCGCTGGCTGATAATTTTCTTTTTACCCATTTTGATTTGTAAATACAGAAATATTCACAGCTCTACTTCCCGCATAATAACATCAGACAGTGGTTTTATCTTTGTTTGATGATATCTGCAGACTAGAGGTCACACAGTGGTAGGCCTATAACAGAAATAAGCTTATTATATTGCCCTTAGTACAGAAAAAAAAAACTCATTTTGTCTATCCATCCTTAAGATATTTAAAACTATTACATTTGTATAATAATTTCTTATTCATTGTAAATCAAACTAAAATGTAATGCCATAATTTAATCAATCAGGAAGCCATTCATCACATCAATGTCGCTATCTCGCTAGCTTTAAACTAGCCAAACTGCCTGTGATAAATATTTTCAACCTGTTAATACAAGCATAGACCTTACAGCGTTAAATAACTTGCTTTTAATTCCCATACAAGTACAGGTGGCACCCACACTGTACAGCTGCTGAATACTCACCTACAAAACAGCTTCTCTGACCCTTAATTATTCGAGCTGAATATGGAAACCCCTCTGAATCATTTGGTTTAGCTAATCTTCAGCTAGTATTTTGTAGTAGCATCCGCTAGTTACAAACCAATTTCTTGTCTGCATGAGATCCTCTAAATAACTGCCTGAACACTGACATCAAAACAATATTTCGATATACAAAATTTCTAATACAGGCTTGTGTACATAATGTTTTTGTAAATCGTAATTTGTGTCCATAACCTCAGATTTGAGCCTATAGCAACATATAGGGTTGTAAAGATTAGATGTTCCCCACATGAGTACGGGGACAGGTGTGTGTACTTAAGGAGCACTGTGTGTCTGCTGCTGACGCGTTTGCTGATGTTACCGGCCTCCTTCCTGGGAATGCGTGTGGTATTGAACATCCTCTCACATTGAGCGGAACACAGAGGAATGATGGTGCCTGGGATTCGACTCTGGGAGAGATACACGGGGCAGGGGGGTGGGGGAGGTAATGGAATTGAGGAGGAGTGGAGTGGAAGCAGAAGCAAAGGAGAGGAGCGAAATGGTGAGGAATGCAGTGGCAAACAGAAGACAACCATGGGGCCGAATTAGTTCAACATGACTCCACAGGCTAAGTGACACTGAAACACTGACAGACAGATGGAGCATGTTCATCCAGTAATTGCTGCTATTCCCACCCCTTTTCATGGTAGGATACACACAATATCCTAATGGAAAACCCATCAAAACACAGGAATAACTCACAGGTTTGATCTCCTCTCGGTTGAGCTTTCTCCTGTAGAGAAGGAATGCATGAAGAGTATTCCCGGCCCTGGCAGCTTGGATCGGTGTTGGTGTCACATACAGAAAATCCTAAAAGAAAAGAAACACGCCTTTCAAAAAAACCTAAAGACATATCTTATGATAAAAATATAACAATAGGACTGTTTAAAATGTGTGTGACTCAGCAGGTTAGACACTGTGCCTATGAGTAGAGGTCATCAGTTCAAAACCCACTGTTAGCAGTGATGTCAACATTGGGCCCATAATCCCCATTTCCTCCAGGGACTGTCTGACCTTGTTTTCTCTAAATGTTTGTTGCTTTGGATAAAAGTGTCCAATAAATAAATGTACAATAAAAAATAGGTTCAAAATCATTCAGTGGTATGTTTATCAGCATTTCATAAAGCTGCAGTTATTCAGTTTGCAGACAAGAGACAGCGCAGACATTACCATGCCATAGTAGTTGCTGTTGACCATGATTGGACCTCGCCCTCTGAGGTAGATGTACTCTTCCCACCAGTCGCTCACCTACAGGAGGCAGGAATTTGGAGATCACAGCACACAACAAAACCTCAGAAATCAACTGGCTCCTCGAAAATAAACCTCATATGCAGTAGCAGAAGTACAAGACTGCGAGGTGTCATACTCAAAACAAAAATGCTGCTTCTTCTGCATGGATCGATCCAATGCACCAGTGTAGAAGATACATATACATATAGATGAACAACAGCAATTATGCCCCCTCTACCTCCCATCATGGCAGCACTATTCAACTTAATTCATCAAAAGGGTAAGGTGCATCTAAATATCAGAATCTGTCACGGGTTGGAACGTGGGAGCTTTTCTAGGGCTACCTGCGGGGATTTCATCCCCGTGGCCTGCTGCCACTAATTCTCGAAACATGTGGAACAGAAATAAGCTACGGCTGGCATCACCCATAATTAGGGAGCATAATTAATAGTTTTTAAATCACAATCTCGATTTATACCCCTATAAGATCTGTTGGTTATATTACACTGAGTCTAAGGTGTTAGCATTGGTTGGGGGCATCTACTGCTTCAAAAGAAAGCACTTGCTAAACAGATGTTAGAATTTACTAACTAACTAACCGAGTGTGGCATAGGGTCACATTGAGGGAAATAAAAATCTGAGATTTTGAGAATAAACTACTAATATTGAAAGGATAAAAGTCATATCTTAATATTACGAGAATAAAGTCAAAGCAGTATTCCTTTAGGGTGTACTCCACTGGCTTTCACATTCTATCACTGGGTGGTGCATAAATAAATACAGTGCAAACTGCTTATAGTGATCACGTCTGGATAATCATTATAATTTACTTTTTTTCTTTGTTTCAGGCAGATTACTATCTAATTGATATTTGCATATTTAATACATGCATATAAGTACGGCCCCTTTGCCTGCTGTGGCGGCGCCTTCGCTAGCTACGGCTTCCTCCTTCTCCTTCCCTTTGCTGGTGTCCCCTCCGTCTCCCTCCTTGTCTCCTCTGTCTGTCCCTCGTCCTGTCCCCTCCTGCTCCCTCCTCCCAGTCGCCTGCGGCCCCTCCGGCCGCCATCCGTCGCCCGTCTGGGCTCCCCTTTGTCCTCCATCCGGTCCTGTCTGGTCTCCCCTGTCTGCTCCTGGTCCCTTTGTCCCTCCTGTCTCTGCTCCTCGTCCCCCTGTCGTGCCTCCGTTCACTCCTGGTCCTTTTGTTCCTCCGTTCTCTGTGCCCTCTCTCTCCCCCTTCCTGGTCTGTTTGTCTGCGTTCCCTGTTCTGTGTCAGGTCCTGTCCTGGCTTTTGCCCTTGTGTTTGTTCTGCGTGTTTGTTCTGTTTCCGGTGCCCCGTTGATGTTTTGGTTTTGTCTTCCAGGTCCTGTTCCCTCGTCTCGTCCTCGCCTCCCCTGGGGTGCGCCCGGTGTGCGCGCATTTTGGGGGGGGAGGGGGGTTATGTTACACCCAGCTCGTCCGATCCTCGTGTGTGCCACACCCACCTCGTTACCTTATGTTAATTCCCGATTGTCATCCCCTGTTCCTCTTGGCTTGTCCTGTGTATTTAGTCCGCGTCTGAGTTAGTCTTCGCAGATTAGTCATTGTATTGTTTAATGTTCGTTGCCTGTCTGCCCCGAATAAACCCCTTATTCCCGTATTCACGGCTCTCTCGCCTGCTTCTCCACTCGCCCACTTGCCGAACCATAACAGATATTACATGAATAAAAGTTGTCATTTTACAGGAATAAAGTGATCATTTTAGGCTGTGTGTTATATTACAGGGGAGATATCAGCAGTGGCTTGCACCAGCTAAGCATAAGTTCAACCTTAAGGTTGGACGTAAAATGTACTTTAAACCACTGAAACTGGGTCATTTTAAACAAGCACCACGTTTTTTGTTGCACCACTGCTACCTAAGTTGCACCGTAGTTAGTAGCTTCTAAATAAAAATAATGTCACACACTTTTGCTCATTATTGTGTTATAGAATCCAAAATATTTCCATACAATGGAAGGCAAATGTCTTTTGGTGACCAGTTCTTTTTTGCTTTTCTCCTTCTCACTCATTTGTTATTTTTCTCATAGAAGTATCAAAGTCTATGAGTTAGTCCAATAGATTAAGACTGGCTGACACTGATTTTTAACATGTTGGAGAATTTGGAGGGGGATTTTATTGCCAAGATTAATACAGAAGAATAGCTTTGCTTTTGAAAGCAACATCAAAATACTGTATGCTGCTATGTATGTTTGGACAGTGTAATGGTTTAAAAAATTATTGATACACCATCTAGCTGACTAGTAAACTGTTAACTTAGCTAAACTAAAGCTAAAGTTCCATTTGAAATCCCAGCACCATTTATCCAAGAAAGCCAAAAGCTCAAGAAGAATGACTTCATACAATACTGTAACAACAGGGAGTGTTTTGACAAAATAATTTTTAATGAAGTTAATTTTATGTTCTGAGACTTTGCCCAGCTTTTCAATGATACTTGGCTAGCTTGAGTAACTTGGGTAGCTACATGAAATTAACGTAAAAAATAGCTGAAGAGAGCATTTCCAAGTTGCTAAGAACTGTTAACTGGTTTCTTAAAATGCTCTTGTATCAAGAAATTTGACAGTTATTTCAACTCCCACTTAACCTATATGATGGTGAAGGTAATTAACTGGTTTGTTTCATATGTTAGCGATAGTGTCACTATTGTTTAAACTGGGCTAACTAGCTAGTTTACATTTGGATACATAACTTTCATAAGTTTAACTTTCTGTGTTATTTAATGAAAATTTTGGTTATTTTAGAGTTTGATGAATACATCTGTAATGCTAAATGACAAACTCCCTCCTCATAGCTTCTTACAGTTTATAACAAAAATGAGTCCTTTTATATCAAAAAGACTGCTTGAACAGTTCAATATGCCATTTCTTATTTATTCTTGAAATGTCGGTAATAAATTTATCGGGATAATAAGACTTGAATTGTTGCATAATTTATCAAAGCTCACCTAGGACACAGACAAAATGGGCATAAAACTCCTGACCTGAAAATTATTCCCATTCTGTGCCAGCATGAGTATGTTGTGATACTTTTACTTGAATTTTACTTGGAGGCCTGTTAGACAGTTTGGGTAAATACAGCTGAAATCCCATCTACCACATCCATGATTGTCTTTGTCATGATTTACTCCTGTTTTTTCAATATAGTCAGGAACATAACTATTTGGACACTGACACAAGTTTTCTATTTTACCTGCTTATTGAAATACAGTGGTGTGAAAAAGTGTTTGCCCCCTTCCTGATTTCTTATTTTTTTGTATGTTTGTCACATGTAAATCTTTCAGATCGTCAAACAGATTTAAATATTTCCCGGCATGATGTCTGGCTTTTGAGGATCTTTTGGTCTACTCCACTTTGTCAAGCAGGTCCTGTTTAAGTGATTTCTTCATTGAGAACAGGTGTGGCAGTAATCAGGCCTGGGGGTGGCTAGAGTAATTGGACTCAGCTTTCCAAAGATGTGATACAGTTCATTTATGTTTTAACAGGGGGGACAATCACTTTTTCACACAGGGCCATGTAGGTTTGGATTTTTTCCCCCTTAATAATAAACACCTTTATTTAAAAACTGCATTTTGTGTTTACTTGTGTCATCTTTGTCTAATATTTAAATTTGATTGATGATCTGAAACATTTACGTGTGATAAACATACAAAAAAATAAGAAACCAGGAAAGGGGCAAACACTTTTTCACACCACAGTATATTCCAATTGAAGTTATACAATGGGCATGGACATAAAGTGCAGACTCTCAGATTCCATTTCAGGGTTTCCACATTAAAATTGGATGAAGGGTTTAGGAGTTTCAGCTCATTAACATGTGCCACCCTCTTTTTAAAGGGGCCAAAAGTAATTGGACAATTCACTTAAAAGCTATTTCATGGACAGGTGTGGGCAATTCCTTCATTCTTTCATTATCGATTAAGCAGATAAAATGTCTGGAGTTGATTTGAGGTGTCTTGTTTGCATTTGGAAGATTGAGGTGTGAACATACAACATGCGTTCTAAGGAACTCAGTATTTAGGTGAAACAGGCCATCCTTAGGCAGTGAAAACAGAAAAAAAAAATTGAGAAATTGCCACAACATCAGCAGTGGCAAAATCCACAGTTTGGTACATCCTGAGAAAGAAGGAAAGCATTGGTGAACTCAACAACGCAAATGACAACAGTGGTGGATGATCACAGAATCATTTCCATGGTAAAGAGAAACCCCTTCGTAACAGCCAACCAAGTGAACGATACTCTCCAGGAGGTAGGCGTATCAATATCCAAGTCTACCATAAAGAGAAGACTGCATGAAAGCAAATACAGAGGGTTCACTGCAAGATGCAAGCCACTCATAAGCCTTAAGAATAGAAAGGCTATTTTTGGACTTTGCAAAAAAAACATCTAAAAAAAGCCAGCACAGTTCTGGAACAGCATTCTTTAGACAGATGAAACCAAGATCAATGATGGAAAGAAAAAAGTATGGAGAAGAGCTGGAACAGCTTATGATCCAAAGAACACCGCATCATCTGTAAAACATGGTGGAGGCAGTGTGATGGCTTGGGCGTGCATGGTTGCCAGTGGCACTGGGTCTTTAGTGTTTCTTGATGATGTGACACAGGATGGAAGCAGCCGAATGAATGCTGAGGTGTTCATCATATCTGCTCAAATCCAGCCAAACTGATTGGGCGTCATTTCATAAAACAGATGGACAATGACCCAAAACACATAGCAAAAGCAACCCAGGACTTTATTAAAGCAAAGACGTGGAATATTTTCGAATGGCCAAGTCAATCACCTGATCTCAACCCCATTATGCATGCATTTCACTTGCTAAAGACTAAACTACAGCCAGAAAGACCCTCAAACAAACAGCAACTGAAAGCTGCTGCAGTAAAGGTCTGGCAGAGCATTAAAAAGGAGGAAACCCAGCGTCTGGTCATGTCCATGAGTTCAAGACTTCAGGCAGTCATTGCCTGCAAAGGGTTTTCAACTAAGTATTAGAATTGAACTTTTTATTTGCAGTTATATTAATTTGTCCAATTACTTATGAGCCCCTGAAAGGAGGGGATTGTGTAGAAAAATTGCTTTAGTTCCCCACATTTTTATGCAATGTTTTTGTTCTACCCACTGAATTAAAGCTGAAAGTCTGCACTTCAAGTGCATCTGACTTGTTTCTTTTAAAATGTATTGTGGTAATGTACAGAACTTAAAAATTGAAAAACTGTCTCTGTCCAAATATTTATGGTCCTGACTGAGGCAAAATTGCAAACCCTAATGATTTAAAACAATTTGTACCCAGCCAGGAAAAGCAGTGGGTCCTGATCGCATCGGTCCTGGAGTGCTCAGGAGTTGTGCCGCCCATGTCCATGGGACCTGAGCAAGGCTTTTGTGCCATGGGTCAAATTTCATGGCCATAGAACGGGAGCAGGCGGACAGTTGGAGAAATGCATGATCTGCGGTGGTACTAAAATAGTCCTCATTTCCTATTCTGTGCATACCTGCTATCAGCACTGTCTGAAAGAGTGTTCAGCATCTGTGGCCGGATTTTGGAGGAGAAACACTCCTGTCAGTCAACATATTATTCATACATGGCCGTTATAAAATAAGCAGCGGCTGGCAGACAAATCACTGTGAAAAAGAACATATTGTCACAGCCCTCCCCGAACAGTGTTTAAGCTATTCAGAAAAGTAATCACAGATGTTTTTCTCTCTCAACGGAACCTGTGTGCCAAGTCCCAGAATCCTGTTTACTTGCTGACGAAGATACAAACCCAAGAAAGGACACTAATGCTCAACTTAGCAAGGCAAAAAAAAAAAACACCAGCCTGAGAGCATCTCGGCTTTACTTACATAGTTGGTCGCCCAGAGCGCCTTGAGCTTGAGGTACCATTGCAGACGATTTCCTAGGCCCTTCTGGAACTCTGTGGCAAGCTCAGACATGTGCTCGAACTCAGAGGCACTCATCAGAGGCCGCACGGACTCCAGGTACTGAGAACAGAGGTGAAGCAGATGCTAAGTAACGCGTCAAGTTCCAGGAACAACACTTCTAGCTTACAGCACTCCCTTGCTGGTCTCTTATGATCCTTGAATGATCATAGTGTTACACTTTTTGTTCTGATTGCATAATCCCATTAGGTTCTTGCTGTGTTTGAAACCATAGGAGAACATGTTGCAGAAATTGTATATTTCAATTTATTTTCATATACTATTTCTATATTATCATCACTTATATTGAGCATCTAAACATAAAATACACACAAGTACAGTCATTGACAAAAGTCTTGTCACATAAGGACATAGTAACATAAAAAGGCATATAACTTTATTTCTAATCAATCAATTGTTACAATGAATGGATCAATTTAATGCCAAGGACTTTCACATTAATAACTGGGTGCAAAATGAAACAGTCAAAAAGTGTCCTGATGTTCACAGCTTGTTAAAGTCCATAACACCTGTTTTTGCAAGGACAAAAGTCTTGTCGCTTAACCAAGTTGTAGG